CAGTAAACAAAAAACGAAGTGGCTCATGATATTCGCAAAAGGGGGAATGCATCGTCCTAGCGTTGAAGTGGAGTAGAATTTTCGTTGAGTACGACTTCCCCCCGCTCTGCCGCACAAAAATTTCTCCTGCATCACTATCTCCATCATAGCTCATCAGCTCATGTTACCCAATATCCCCAAGAATTTGCCATTAAGCGGATGGGCGACAAGTTCGAGGCGGTCCCCGAAAATCGCGCCGGAAGTTCAATTTGTCGGGCGGTGAGGCGCACACAATTGGGCCAACCGTAAGCCTGTGTGGGAGGAAGTTCCAGGGAGAAAGGCGCAGGCACATCGTTGTTGGGGAATCCCCAACAGGGGGTCGTATTTGGCCGCCAGGAGGGGGGGTCGTATTTGGGCTGAGAAAAATTTATTTTGATAGTTGATTTTTCTCGCTTCACGGACGTTGTAAAAGGGGGGGGGTCGTACTTGCTCATTGTTGGGAGGGGGGGGGGGTGGTCGGGTCGTATTTACTTTTTCGATTTTCTAGGAGTGGTGGGAGTGGTGGTTGACTTCCTGTGACGTTCCTGTTTCATGCGTACTATATACACCCCTCCCCCCCCCCCCGCTCGACAGCAGTTTTTGGGGAAAAGTAGGGAAGTTTTCGGTAAATTTTGGAATATTAGGAAGTTGGGAAAAATCTGAGGTGGTCGTACGGACTCGACTAAAATCCTCAAAAATGATGTGCCCCGGAAAGGCGGGAACCCGCTCACCACCCGCAACCAAGTGCCGCCAGGGCGTAATTGGAGAAATGACTAGTCATCCCAGGGTACCAATTCCTGCTTGCTTTGCCTGAACACGCGACTTAATCCGACGGTAAGTCCAGTTGTGTGCCCCTCGGCCCAATGCATCTAATTTCACGCGCAATTTCGGGTGTACCGCATACACCTTGTTTTTCTGGACTTATAATCTTGTACTAATCAGCTGGCAGCTGGAGCGTATCGTGAATGTGTTAACGAAACTGTGCTATAGGATCTTACAATGGTCGCAAGGCTTCTGGCACTCCACTGGTGTTTTCATCAAACGACCCGGCTACCGTTGAATACCAGCCTTATAATAAATATGGCAAAAATTATTGGATGGTGGAGTTGCTTGTTGATTGTTCACGAACCGAACAATTATGGTTTGGATTCAAGGTACTCTTCCGAAAGTACCCGTTTACGGTTCAGTCATGGTTCACGTTGGTATTTCAGGGCTATATGTCATCTATGTATAGATGGAGCGGTTGGGAACCAGATATAAGCCAGAAGGAATGTTCCGGCATCGCGGGAGGAAAGTCCCCGTTCAAATCGAATAATCACATGGCAAAATGCGGTGCAGTGAATGTGTTCAGTTGGGGTAGCAATGCATGTTTGATAGATCCCATCTGAATGTTGCCTTTGCTGAGTAAATTGTTCCATTTGACTGGCTTGAGGCTTCTGTTTATAAAAACACGTTTATACTTTGTGACATACGCGGTTCGATATCGCGCGTCTGCGATTGACTGCGCTCCACAGCCAGTCGTTGGACAGTTGCAACTTTCTGAAGATATTTCTATCCTAGATGCGATTGAACTGGTCAAAGGGTCAAGGTTTAGCGGTAGAGCGCGGTCAATCCAAATCATGCAACACTTTCGCCAAAGTCCAGGAGCGTGAACCCTGCCTAGCTGATCCCTTTCAAGATGCAAATTCATGCAGTCTATGTGAAAATGTCCCGTTGTTCCGTGAGATCCACTGAATTGATGAACGTTTGATACCGTTGGACCGTTCTCCTATAAGCCGTCATGAATACATATGTTTTGGTTTTTGATCGAGTAACTCTGTTCTGAAGGTGTAGCAGCAAGTAGAGCGCTTACCATTCGCGCGGTCAGAGGATCAAATCCCGGCTCTCGCCGAGGCCAGCAGACTTCTACCTTTTGAGGACGGTTAATTGCTCCCAGATTCGTCTGGAATGATAAGAACACTGAAGGGGCAGTTCGACAGGGGTGGGGGAAGCGCATTTTGCACTTTCGCTAATTTCCTTTCGAGTGTCGACCCATCTAGAGAGCCATTCTGATCTAGGTTTTACCATGGTGGCTCAGCGAGCTTGCTCCAGCCTCACAAGAGTTCACACGTTTCAACATGAGTGAGACATCTAAACCGGAGGTCGCGAAGCAGCGAAAGTGCTCTCAAAGTGCCCTCCCTTTCCCCCTGTTGCCGAACTGCGCCAACACTGACTTGTACATCGGCTGGCCCCGCAAGTCATTGTATAGGCCACATCGCATTCAATAAGCCACTACGATTCTGAATGGAAGTAGAATGCGTGCCGCATCCCACAAAGGGATTGATTGATTTGATTTGACGCTTCACTTACGCTTAACTCTTTTTGTTCCTTCCATGAAATGCGGTCTCATTTTGTCGTAGTGGACGAGGCTGGAGCGACAATCGGAATACACGCTTCGACGGGTATTCCCTGCTGGAAGCTTCATTTTTAATTCCGTGACAAATGAACCGGCTCAGCCTAAGCTCTTGGTGGAACGGCATGCCCCTGCTTCGATTGAGAGGAGGCCTCCCCAGTATAGGGTTATCCTGTGGTCGGAAGTGACTGGGACCTCTATGCCACATTGGTCTCATTGTTAGTCCTTTGTTTGAAAGTTCTTTATGCCAACGATATTGATATGTGTTTGTAAGGAGCATAATACAGAGCTTATAGATTGTGAGCTTATCGATTGAAACCTCAATCTTGAGTGTTTAAAAGCAGCTGGCACCATGGTTTCCTACTTGGCCTGAAATGCTAGTAGGGCGCTGTTTAGTGGGGAAATTGGGCGAAAAGAAGCGGAGTGAAGGCGGCAAAAAATCCCTGCGGATGTAAAAATCTCCGTTTCAGTGGCTTGTAAATCGATTTCGGACGAGTTTTCCGTAAGGCATCTTGCCAATCACCGCTACCGAAGATACGGCTGCATATGTGTACCCATGTATGCATGAGGCATCACGGCCGCTTCATACCAGTCCCTTCGCTTCATAATTGCTGTACAAATGAATGAAGGCGAGTGGTCAGGAAGGTAAGTCCATTTGTGGCGGCGGGGGTGTTGGCGTTGTGGAACGTCAAAGTTGTGGCTTGATAGGGCCTTGTAAGAGCACTTTTTGGGAAACCGCTATGCAGCGCCTGCCCAGGGTCGCGGAATTCTATCCTGCCAGGAGTATTGATCCTAGTCGCCTTGGGGGATTTATCGTGCCAACTGCCTTTAAACGAACGGATGCAGACGCTTCACTTGATCAATGTCACAAACACATTCACATGGAAATCAGTTATCCAAAATGGAATGCCGGATGGTTGCTCAGTAGGGCGCATCACGAGTTGGGGATTTTGGTCGGCCCCCTTCCTAAAAGGTGGGAATGTGGCTTGATACGACCCCCTCCCTTTTTTACGGTCTCGGTTTTGTTGTTTTTTCCAGGACACGTCTTGCCGTTGGGACAATTCCCGGAAGCGACGCCCTTTCTCCCGCTCAGTTTCCCTTTCCTTCCTACCACCTTACCTGTTTCCTAGATTTTCCCACCTTCGCTTACTAGTTTTTTGTTTTTCGAAAAAGGTGGGAGGGAGAATGGGACAACAAATGAGTATATAGCCCTCATTACAGCGTCCGTTAAGCGAGAAAAATTAACTAATAGTAAGAAGAAATTTTCTCTCTACGCAAGTACGATGCCCGCCCCCCTCCCTCCCAGCGACCCGGACACAGACCCCCTTTGAGGAATCCCCAACGATGGTTTGATTTGTTGTAGATCACTTGCTATACATCGCGGGGAGCGAGATCAAAGCCACGACAAGTCCTCTGCGCACGGTGCACTCCACAGTCCACTGCTGTCACTGCGCGGTCGTTAGCGCGGGATTCAGTACACAGCCAAAGGCTCAGAATCTCAGGACCGAAATTACACAAGTGGGAAAGGAACGAGTCACCTCGCCACCCCCCCCCCCCCCCCCCCCCCCCCCCCCCCCCCCCCCCCCCCCCCCCCCCCCCCCCCCCCCCCCCCCCCCCCCCCCCCCCCCCCCCCCCCCCCCCCCCCCCCCCCCCCCCCCCCCCCCCCCCCCCCCCCCCCCCCCGTTCACTGCAGAAACTTGAGTTCGGGCTAAGGTTTCGGCCCTCATCGATGAAGCTCAGCGGATCAAGTATTATGTAATCGGATTCAGCGAAACGAAAAGGACTGAGCCAGTTACATACTCCCATGTCAAAGCATCGTGACGGAGTTTAGCTACAAGGGGGGGGGGCATCATGCACTCTTATTACTTCACTAGTTCTGGTTTACAAGTCTCACTCTGGTGAAACCTGTGAACTCTTGTGAAGCTGGAGCAAGCTCGTCAAGCCATCATGGTAAAACCTGTCAACTCGAGAGGAGGCTGTCTAGAAGGCTTGACACGTCAATGGGAAGTAGCAATACTGCAGAATGCCCCCCCCTCCATTGGGAATAATAAATGAATGAAATGTGACCCAGAATCGTTACATTTACTATCTTTATTAGACATTCAACATTCCTGTACAACTCGTAATATGGTTAACAGTTCAAACTGTAAGCGTCCTAATCAACTTTTGAGTAGAACACGTTTGAAGGCACGTCTCTTCATTGCCACTCTTTACCGTCCTGGAAATGTATAAATTTCAGAAGCACAGGCTGTAGAATATGGAAGGTAAACTTCACAAACTCACTTCAACCTCTTGCCATCGCGCCTGCCGGCAGCACACCGGCTCCAATCGGAGGACCACTTCCGGGACCACCACCTGGCATCCACGGCGGACGACCGAAGCCTCCACCAAAGAACGGAGGGCGTCCCCAACCACCAAACATCGGAGGGCGTCCCCAACCACCAAACATCGGAGGGCGTCCCCAACCACCAAACATTGGCGGGCGTCCCCAGCCACCAAAACCGCCAAACATCGGCGGGCGTCCCCAGCCACCAAAACCGCCCATCATTGGAGGTCGCCAACCTGAAACTCAGTCTTGATGAAGCAATCCAGTGATTAAAAACGTTTTCAAGGATGCACAGCTATTATTAGTTGGCAAAGCATTTTCAAACGGACCGCTATGGTTCGTTGGGATTCAAAAGCGATATGATAACCAGCGAAAGTACCCGCTTATCAATCTAAAACGTCTATTAATACCGTCTTGCTTCTGTTCTTGAACTAGATGCCACCTGTGCCTTTGAAGGATGATTCACATGAAAGGCAAATAAAGGATAAAGATTCCGCCGTTGATCAACCCCTCTCGATGGATGTGACACTTATTCTACTTCTTTTCAGAGTCGCAGTGGCTTATTGAATGC